GAGTACCCTATTAATTTCATGGCAAGACTCGAAGTCCAAGTTAGAAAAAAATACGAATATATCAATATTTATGCATTTTCACTTGTTAAGGGTAGTTTTTCATATTTTGACGGGGTTTGAGTAAATGGGATTTTGCATGGGGGTTGAGTATAGTACTGAAAGAGTACCCTATTAATTTCATGGCAAGACTCGAAGTCCAAGTTAGAAAAAAATACGAATATATCAATATTTATGCATTTTCACTTATTAAGGGTAGTTTTTCATATTTCGACGGGGTTTGAGTCAATGGGATTTTGCATAGGGACTGGAGATGGTGCTGAAATCGTACCCTATTAATTTCATGGCAAGACTCGAAGTCCAAGTTAGTAAAAAATACGAATATATCAATATTTATGCATTTTCACTTATTAAGGGTAGCTTTTCATATTTCGACGGGGTTTGAGTCAATGGGATTTTGCATAGCGACTGGAGATGGTGCTGAAATGGTACCCTATTAATTTCATGGCAAGATTCGAAGTCCAAGTTAGAAAAAAATACGAATATATCAATATTTATGCATTTTCACTTGTTAAGGGTAGTTTTTCATATTTTGACGGGGCTTGAGTAAATGGGATTTTGCATGGGGGTTGAGTATAGTACTGAAAGAGTACCCTATTAATTTCATGGCAAGACTCGAAGTCCAAGTTAGAAAAAAATACGAATATATCAATATTTATGCATTTTCACTTGTTAAGGGTAGTTTTTCATATTTTGACGGGGTTTGAGTAAATGGGATTTTGCATGGGGGTTGAGTATAGTACTGAAAGAGTACCCTATTAATTTCATGGCAAGACTCGAAGTCCAAGTTAGTAAAAAATACGAATATATCAATATTTATGCATTTTCACTTATTAAGGGTAGTTTTTCATATTTCGACGGGGTTTGAGTCAATGGGATTTTGCATAGGGACTGGAGATGGTGCTGAAATCGTACCCTATTAATTTCATGGCAAGACTCGAAGTCCAAGTTAGTAAAAAATACGAATATATCAATATTTATGCATTTTCACTTGTTAAGGGTAGTTTTTCATATTTTGACGGGGCTTGAGTAAATGGGATTTTGCATGGGGGTTGAGTATAGTACTGAAAGGGTACCCTATTAATTTCATGGCAAGACTCGAAGTCCAAGTTAGAAAAAAATACGAATATATCAATATTTATGCATTTTCACTTGTTAAGGGTAGTTTTTCATATTTTGACGGGGTTTGAGTCAATGGGATTTTGCATAGCGACTGGAGATGGTGCTGAAATGGTACCCTATTAATTTCATGGCAAGACTCGAAGTCCGAGTTGGAAAAAATACGAAAATATCAATAATTATGCATTTTCACTTGTTAAGGGTAGTTTTCCATATTTTGACGGGGCTTGAGTAAATGGGATTTTGCATGGGGGTTGAGTATAGTACTGAAAGAGTACCCTATTAATTTCATGGCAAGACTCGAAGTCCAAGTTAGAAAAAAATACGAATATATCAATATTTATGCATTTTCACTTGTTAAGGGTAGTTTTTCATATTTTGACGGGGCTTGAGTAAATGGGATTTTGCATGGGGGTTGAGTATAGTACTGAAAGAGTACCCTATTAATTTCATGGCAAGACTCGAAGTCCAAGTTAGTAAAAAATACGAATATATCAATATTTATGCATTTTCACTTATTAAGGGTAGTTTTTCATATTTCGACGGGGTTTGAGTCAATGGGATTTTGCATAGGGACTGGAGATGGTGCTGAAATCGTACCTTATTAATTTCATGGCAAGACTCGAAGTCCGAGTTGGAAAAAATACGAAAATATCAATATTTATGTATTTTCACTTGTTAAGGGTAGTTTTTCATATTTTGACGGGGTTTGAGTCAATGGGATTTCGCATGGAGATGATATTAAAATAGTACCCTATCAATTTCATAGCTAGACTCGATGTCTAAGTATGGTTTATTGAATTTATTTTGAATCAAAAAACAATGCTACGCCACTGGTCGTTCGGGCGTTTCCGTCAAATTGGCTGCCAAGTTTTGGCTGCTAACTTCACACCGGTGAAATAGTCCAGGAGATTATTATGAATATTTTTTGCCAAGATACTTTTGGTGTCGATGGTACCATAGCCCAAGGAAACTTCGAAGTTGATGCAGATCTTTAGAAATCGGCCACTCTTGAACTGCTTTCACTTTCTGATTATCCACGGCTATTCCTTGACCAGAAACTACATGACCTAGGTACTGAATTTCCTCTTGAAAAACGTGACATTCCATCATGGCAACATGGCCAACAGAGAAAAAGCGCATTCTATTAGCGAACAAAAATTATGCAAAACCTGCGAAAAAGAAGTAGGTAGTGAATTACATAAGGTGCTTTAAGTGCGAAGAGTTTTTTCATCCGAACTGTCTGGTGCAATCAGCTAAACTTCGGAACGCCCAGTGTGTACACGAGCCTCAGGCAACCGAACCTTTTTTCAATTAAGGTTAGGATCAGATGGTGAGAAAAATGTATCGGCTCTACAAGTTGAAAACCGTTTGTTGCTTAGAGTTATATCAGAGAACTCAAAGAAACAGTAAATTTTCTGGAGCAAAATTGATCGTTTACAGGGCCAGGAAAAGCAAAATTCTTTGGTAATATCGGCTGTAAATTGAGATCTGCTAGGATATATTATGGCATGAGACAAGTAAACGCCGATCAACTACTGAGATCTGCTTGAAGCAAGAAAAGCAGTACAAATAAACATCCTAAATGGATCATACTCCAGAGCAGCGAGAGCAGGGGTCAGCACCAATAATTGGAGTAATGTCAATAATGGAATAATGGGCAATGGAAATCATGTTAATGTCAATAAAATCAACAAGAGAAACGATTTTATATAAACATAACCACCAATAATCCCAATGCGAATAATAAAAATCAAAATAAGTTCATTTCAAGAAATATTGTTAAGGCAGCCATACCGAAAGCGTAGACACATTTGAAAATGAATGAAATTACTAATTTGACCTCGGGTTCTGAAAACGATCCTTCTAATGATGAACCCTCAGCCGAACTCCTGGAGGCCGGCTGGAAGTCTGTGACGACAAGAAAAAATAGACGTCGGTTTTTCAGGAGGCGGAAATTCGGACCATGCTAATCAGATACCAACGGTGCCAAGGTACACTTCTCTACATGTAACAAGATTGAGCTGCGATACAAATTATTATTATTATTATTATTACTATTTCTTTGGACTGAGCTTCAAACTAGAATTCCCTAGTCTCTGGAGTTCTTCATGTGGTCCCAAAGGATCTTCCGTCCACAATGATGTCGTCGAGGTACACTAAGCAAATTGATCAGGGGCCCGATTCTCGTCTCAGGGAGTAGAGCTCCTCGATAGAACGTTTTATCCTTGTCAATGTAATCGAAAAATAAACAAAAAATTTGTTCTCTGGGGGAACTCTACTCCCTGGGTCGTGAATCGGCCCCCAGGCTAAGTCTTTTAAAACAATTTCCATGAGCCTTTTGAAGGTAGCGAAAGCATTACACAATCCAAATAGTATGACGGGTAAACTGCCCTAATCCAGCTCCGACAGTGAATGCAATCTTTTCTTTATCCTGTGAAGCCATTTCCACCTGCCAATAGCCGCTTTTCAAGTACCATCAATACGAGGAAATGGGTAACTATCTTTTTTCGTTACGTTGTTAAGTTGGCGATGATCCACACAAAATGGGGTTGAACCATCCTTCTTCTTAACTAGCACCACCGGCAACGATCATGGACTGGTAGAAGTTCGATAACTCTTTTAGTCTTCTCGCCGATTGACGAATTGGCTGTGCATCCCAAGTGTTGATTTAATTTTGTACTAGTTTTGTTATTTTCTTTCCTCCTTGTTCAGTATCGAAAACATTGCTGTAATAGGTCCTTCAACTTTTCCCTTTGCTTTTTGTGTAAATGCTTCCTCATTTTTCTCATGCAGTATAATTTCTTCATTATCTACCGTCAGAGTACTATTTTTAAAATACAGTTGAAATGCTCTGGAATTCATGATGTGCATTCCAATGATTATTTCCTTCTCAATATCTGCAACCAAAATCTAATGTTTGAAAGTTGGTACTTCCCAGCTTCTCTTGAACGTCTACTTCGCCATGTATTTCAAGGTTGACATATGCCTTTTTCTTAAGGGCTAGATGATAGCTACAGGCCGACGATCGCCCCCTTAGCATCGACCCTCTTTAGTTTTCTGGTGCCGAGGGTGACCCCTGGCTCTTCTCTCTATAGCGTCTTTGGATATGACTCAGCATTCCACATTTCCAGCATCGTATTTGTCTTCTTTTGAATATTACTTCTTCAATAAGTCTTTTTAGGACAGCCTCATTAATAGGAGACTCCTCCATACTAGCTTCTGGTTTTCCAGAAAAAAATTACTTAAAGTGTAAGAGGGTTGATGATTTTCACTAATTTTTAATTTTGTTATTTTCTATTGGAAAAGTTTGAAATTTTAGTATGATGAGCTCCTAACTTTCCCCTTTTTCTCCTGAAAGTATCATAATTCTTTCTCTAATAGTTTTACAGAGAAAAATCAATTATTATAATCAATACAGATACCCACTTACGATTGCTACAATTAATACCAAAAAAAAAACAGTAGGAAAATACTTATGAATCAATAAACAATTAAAAGATAATTTAAAAGCTCACTTAAAAAAAAATAATAACCACTCAGAGATTATCAAATGATGCATCAATGCTATAATAAATAAATTTCAAAGTTAATGATATGTGTTGTATCGTGTATTAAATAGTAAAGATTTACTTGAATTATAGAACCATTTTCAAATGGAGTATATAGTCTGTTTCATTGCAGTTGATCGAAGTTTAGGACCATAATACCATTGTAAACCAGTAAAAGGGATCAACTGCAATGAAACAGACTATATATAGTCTTTTTGCAAATTAATTTTTGTTTATACCTAAACGGCCTGTTTTACAATATACTATACATACCTGATCTTATAATTTGTTCTTCAATAATCTCCATTTTAACACTAACCAAGCACAGTTTGTATTAGATTCAAATCCTCTCAAAAATTAATACTTTGGAACTGAGGATGTCATACTTCAAATGCCAATTATCTAAGTAATCAACTTTTCGATTAATTTGTTAATTTTCATGTAGCAGGTTTTTCATTTAAATGATCTGATAAAAATCAATCTTAGATTATGTATTTATTCAAAAATCCATTGACTTTGATACGGTATCAGCCAGGTCTGTTATTTTCTAACCTTTTGATCTCTAAGCAATTTGATTTGCAATTTTTTCTTTTGGTGGCCGATTCCGTTTTATAACGCGTCGTTGCTTCTAGAATTATCCAGATGATTTTTTCCCAATTTGAGAATACTAGCTGATGAATATATGGAGAATTTTCAAAATGTTCAAAGACTGATGGAACTTGCCGCATTTTTTCCCCGGGACGCATTATACAATTTAACCGTAATTTATTTTTCCCCAGCTCCCGGCGGGTCCGTTTTGTCGCTTTATATTTCCTATTTCATAAAAGCCATGGAAATTTGATTGAAATTACGAGTGTTTGCATCAATTAAAACTCCCTGACGAGGGACCTTGTTTTTTTCAAAAAAAAAAATTTGATGATGCTCACTTATAGTCCGGGAGGTAGTGTCACTTTTTTATTAGGGATTTATCTCCGACTCAAATGTGATTTATTGAAGAGTTTCACCATTACTGTGATCAAAATTGAAAGTCAGTCAGCGCGACCGCGGTGGGTGTGAGTGTGGGAGGCTGTGGAACTCGTTGGAAAAGCTATGAAAAAAAGTAAATAATCTGCACATGAAAATTTGTTAGAATGTTAGTTATTGATAATTAAACGTGAAAATATTCGTCAGTCACGTTTCCGACGGGGGAAACATTGTCAGTCAGAGGTTTGAAGCAGTCGGAAAAGTTGGAAAATTCGAGTGACCGATTTTCACTTTAAATTTTATGGATTGATTATTTGATTCAAATCAAGCATAAAAATGAAAGAGTCAGCTTCCAAATGTTCAAAGCATGACAAATCTTCCTCTACTGTTCTGAAAACCTTATTATCAATTACTTCGAACTTGAAACATTTCTCACAGTTCGGTCACCAAAGTAAGGACTCATATGAACCTGATTCCAATGTTCACATAAAAATCTCACCAACGCTTCCTTGAAATAAGTATTATTCAAATCGTTTTTAAAATTCGATGATCGTTTCTGCTGAGGTCCATTGATAATAAAACGATTTCCCACTACTCTTCTACGCATTATGTGCTCGTTATCTTTTATCAATGGGGAAACGTAACGATCGAACGCAATAATGATGGTTTTTGTAGGTCTATAAACCTAGCAGTCCCAAAAAAATTTCGGGAACTATATAATAATTAGGTGCTTTTTAGGTGCTAATTAGGGCCTCTAATTAAAAATTAGGTGCTTCTTTAGTTTCTGAGAAAATCAAAAAAAACTAAGGGACTGCTAGGTTTATAAAAGCTAGCAGTCCCCTATAGTAAAAAATATTTTTTCAAATTTTTTCCTTGTATCAGAATTAGGTGCTTTTTAGGTGCTCCTAAATAGTCGAAGAAAAAATAGAATTGATTAATTATTAACTGAGTTACAGATTTTTTTTTAATTATTAGGGGACTGCTGACTTAACGTTTACATGTTGGTGTGTCAGAATGGAAAAAAAACTTCGGGATCTACAGTGTCATTACTTAAGTGTGCAACATATGGGATTTTTTTTTAGTAATAGCACAATCAAAATATAAACAAGGCCAAAGGTTGGTGCATGTCTGATAATCATATTAGGTGCACTTAGAATGGTAAGTAATAATAATAATTAAGTAAGTAATAATAGTAATAATAGTTCAGTTCAGTTCAGTTCACTTTATTTGATCTCTTTAAAATATAAAAATACATTTTGTACCCTTTCAGGTGTAGATCACGTCAATATAAAAAAAAATAGACAGACAAATTAAAAAAATAATAATAAATAAAATAAAATAATTAGACTGCAAGATTAAAACTAACATATGCACATACAAGCTTGTAACAATAAGCATCTAAAATATTATGCGACTTTTATGACGAAGACATAGGAAAAAAAAAAAAAAAGTTTTAATGATAAAATAACCGAGAAAATAACATAAACACACATGAAGATATCCAAAAAATTGGTCAGAGCATTCTGTCTAGATCAGTTCAAGAAAATTGATTTATTTTTATCCTCGAAAAATTCGTTAACACTATAGTAGGCACGATTTTCCAGAAGCAACCTAATTTTTCCCGCAATTTTTCTGTTAGGCATTTGTCTCAGTGTGATAGGCAAAGAGTTCCATATTTTTATAATATTAAAAGTTATATTTTTTCGTAAATAACTAAATTGAGGTATATCTGTTCTTAGATTATCCTTTTTTCTTGTGTAATATTTGTGCTCGATTCTTTGGTTTTCAAATAGATCTGGATTTTTTATAACAAATTCAATACTCTCCTGAATATAGATATTATAGACTGTCTGAATTTTATACTGAATAAAATTTGCTTTGCAGCTTTGTTTGCGATTTAGTTTTAAAATTGTTCTAAGACATCTCTTTTGCAGAACAAGTATTCTCTCGGCGTATGTAGAGTTACCCCAGAAAATGACACCATATCTTACACGTGATTGTACAAAGGCGTGATAGGAAGTCAGAGAAGCAGACAGACACACTGTGTCTCTAATAATTCTAAGTGCATAGCAATATTGACCTAATTTTGACGCAAGTTTGTCTATGTGAGATTCCCAGCACAATTTTTTGTCCAAGACAACACCCAAAAACATGACGCTGTCTTGAGCCCCTAGCTCCATCCCTCCATAAATTACACATAATTTTTCTGTGTTTTTGGGTCTAAAGTGAATCAGTTGTGTTTTATTTATATTAAGTGTTAAGTTGTTTGATTCGAACCATTCTGTCAATCTATCTAAGTCGTGTATAATGCCTCTTTCTATCGCTTGTATATTTTGTTCATCATATAGAACAGTTTTGTCGTCAGCGAATAGTACTATGTTGTCGTTTTGTATAATATTTGTTATGTCATTGGTGTATAAAATATAGAGCAGAGGAGACAAAACAGCTCCCTGAGGGACGCCCCTGCTGATTAGTTCAAATTCTGATCTTACTTTTTGTCCATCTTTTCCTAGCTCCTCTGTGCATTGCCGTCTGCCTTCTTGAAAGGATTCAATCAGACGCAGAGCCATGCCCGTTATGCCACATGCAGCCAGTTTTTTTAACATAGTTTCATGGTGGACACTGTCAAAAGCTTTGGTCAAGTCTAGGCATAGCGCTGCGGCTGTTTATTTCCTGTTCAATGTGTCAATTATTTTTTTAATTGTTTGATAGATTGCCCTGATCGTTGATTTACCCTTTCGAAATCCGTTTTGCTGATCTGAAAGGATGTGCTCACTTTCCAAGAAATTTGTCATTTGTTGATGCATTATTTTTTCAAATATTTTGCTGATGTTGTTTAAAAGCGAAATTGGGCGATAGTTTTTCAGGTCATTTTTTTCACCTTTATTTTTATACAAAGGCTTGACAATTGCAAACTTTAAGGCAGATGGAAATTTACCCGTTTCAAAGCTGAGGTTTATTATATAGGCAAGAGGTTTTGAAATTATGTTTGAAGTCTGCTTTAGTAGACTCACTGGAATTTCATCAGTGCCAACTGATTTTTTGTTTTTTAGGTCTTTGATGATGTTTTCTACCTGTTCAGGGTTTATTGGCTTAAAGTCAAAGCTTTTTTTATTCAATAATAAGCAGCTACTGTTTTCAGGTTTGGAGTTGTGAGTTAAATTTTGACATGAGCTTAGGAAAAACGAATTAACTTTATTTAAAAATTCGGGGGTCTCTTTTTCTTGAAAGTTGTTGAAAATTGATTGATCTTTGTTTTTTTCGTTTGTGATTTTTTTTATGAGATTCCAGGTAGTTTTAGTTTTATTTTCTGAATTTTCAATTTGCATTTTGTTTGAGAGTTTTTTTGCTTTTTTAATTACATTCTTGAGTATTTTGGAGTATTCTTTATAAAAGCTTTTACTTGCAAGCCCTGATAGGTAGAGTTCATATATTGTTCTCTTGTTTTTAATGGATGTTTTTATGCCTGTAGTAATCCAGTTGTAACTGCTATTTGTTTTATTTTTCCTTGTTTTTTTTGGAAAAATTAGGTTGAGGTAGTAAGTGATTGTTGTGATGAATGAATTGTATGCGCCATCTACCTCTCTTTCCCGAAATACCCCCGCCCATGTACAATCTTGAATTGTCTCTTGATATTGAGTGAGTTTATTAATAGAAAATGTTCTGCCTGTAAAGTAAGACTCTTTAAGTTTACAAATGCTGCTTATATTTATTGATACTGTCTGAGCATGGTGATCACCTATTCCTGTTTTTATTACATAATTATTACAGAAATTTTGTGAATTCACAAAAATATTGTCAATGCACGATTTTTTGTTCTTATTTGGCCTAGTTATGTCAAAAATTGTTTGGTGAAAGTTATATGTTCCAAATAGATCGAGCATTTCGTTTCTGTTTCTTATTTCTTCTCTTGTTAAATAGTTATTCTGTGTTAAGAAATTGATGTTAAAATCGCCCGCCCAGACAATTTTGTAGTTTTTGAACCTTTCAGAAGCCTTTCTGACCAAAATTTCAAAGATCTGATAAAATATATTGTAGTTCCCCAAACACGATCTATATATGCAAAAAATTACTACTTTCCTAATCTTACTGATAATTGAGCAAATTTCCAAGTTGCCCTCAATGTTATAGTCTTCAAACATTTTCAGCTCTTCAAAATCTTCTAGTTCTTCTTTAACGTAGATACAGGTTCCTCCTCTTATACTGTGTATCCTGGTAAAGTGAGCAATCATGTTGTACCCTCGAATCTTCGTCAAATTAACCTCTTCCGGCTTCATCCAATGTTCAGACATGCATAAAACCTGTTGATAATTTTCCAGAGTTTTTAAATGTGTTTCCAGTTCTAGCGTCGAAGTTTTCAAACACTGTATATTTTGATGGAAAATACCCAGTATCTGGTCGCTCTTCTGCGGTCTACTTTTTGCAATAGCAAGCCTGGGTTGAGCATTCCATTGGTTGCCATCCTGTGTCATTTTGTCTTGGGTACCAAAAAAAACAATTCCTCCTTGCAACTGGACTCGTTTTTTGAGTTTGTTGCAT